AATATTCTCAATTATCTCATGAAATAGGTTAATAGCATTGGCTATTACATTTATAACCAGTTGTCTCTGATTCATCATCATGTCAGGAAAATGATAAATATTTTCTTCGACTGTAGCAGTGGCAAGACGCCTAGACCTTGGATCATCTTTAAAAATATCTCTTTCCCTCCTAAATTCAGATGGCCACTTTTGCACTGTTTGTAAAGTTTGAGTGTTATCCACTAATATAGCAACCATGCCAGCATCACTGTCCTTCATGGCGAAACTCTTTTTCTGCAGGTCTTTCTTTAGAGTACGACGCCGAATTTTGTCCATTTTCAGGAGAATTCGCTACTAGATACTTTTGAAATCATTTTCGAACAGTCAGATGCCAGAAGAAAAATTGAAATGAATATATTCAAGCTTTTAAATCTCTAACATCACTCCTTAGACAGCCTATGAACTTTTTAGTCCACCCTCGTAAAAAACGTATAGAATACATAGTATAGTTTTAATAAGTCCGGTGAGAAGAAACAAACTTGTCTTACACTATCTATCTATCAGGTCATCCCATAAGTTCTGTCCGAATTTTAACTTTTTGTTAAAATGAACGAAATTTAAAGAGTATTTTATAATGTCAAATGGAGCTGAACATTATTTTTATGTTTAGATGCATTTAAACCGATCAATTTTTTATTTCAGTGAACAACAAAATTAAATTTTGTTTGATTAAAATCCTGCTAACATGGAAGTACCCAAGAATCATTTGAGGCACATAATGCTTTATGAGTTCAAGAAAGGCAACTCAGTAGCCGAAGCGGCTAGAAACATTCACTCAGTTTATGGAGAAGAATGTGTGAATGAAAGAACTTGCAGAAGATGGTTTGCAAAATTCAGAGGTGGAGATCTCACCCTTGAAGATTGTGAACCGGACGTCCAGTTGAGTTTGAAGAAAAGCTTCTTGAAGCAGCCCTTGAAGAAAATCCTGATTTATCAGTTGAGGAATTGGAAGTGGTTCTCAGTTCAAACCATACAACTGTTCATCGCCATCTTCAACAACTTGGAAAAGTTCCTAAACTTGAAAAATGCGTGACTCATAAATTGTCTGAAAACAACCTCAAATCCCGAGTTGACATCTGCTCTTCTCTCCATTCTCACCAACTTGTTTCACCTATTTAGGATAGACTTGTCCCTGGCGACGAAAAATGGACCTTTTATCGAAATGTTAAGTGTCATAGACAGTGGCTTGGTAAAGGGGAAGGACCCCAGCCACAGCCGAGAAGGGAACTTCATGGGCAAAATGTTCTTCTTTCAAGCTGGTGGGATCGCCAAGGAATAATCCACTTTGAATTCCTACCATCTAATGCAACAATTAATGCTCAAATATACTGTCAGCAATTAGTGCGTTTGAACCAAGCTTTGAGGAAAAAAGACCTGCTCTAGTGTATCGAAAAGAGGTGATGTTTCATCAGGACAATGTGCGACCCCACACAGCAAGAATCACGTCACAAAAGATCGAAGAATTTGGTTGGGAGAAAAACCTTATTCTCCCGATCTTTCTTCTTCAGACTACCATTTGTTTCGTAGCTTACAGAATCCTTTGGAAGAAACAGCTTTTGTAACACAGGAAGAGGTTAAAACTGACATTTGTGAGTTCTTCGAATCAAAGCCAAAAGAATTTTACAGTAATGGAATTAGTAAGCTTGTTAATAGATGGAAGGAAGTCATAGATAATCATGGAAAATACATTGTTGATTGAATCTGTAATTAAATGTTACATTTGGTCACTTGTTTTCTTTATTCAAAATTCGGACAGAACTTATGGGATGACCTGATATAACTCTGAAATGTGGCATTATGATTATTTAAATTATTTACATTACTCGGATTGTCATCCTCACACTGGGCCATGTGACCTTGTTTGGATGAAAGTGTTGGTTAGATCTAGTAATTAGATCTAAAGAGTTGTGAGTCTAATAACAGGCAAAAGCAGATGTGAACCAAAAGATTTGGAGAGTTGAGTTGGGGGGAAATAACTGAGACATTCGGACGAGCATAGCACGTGGGACTCGGACAATCTACCCCGGTGGACGAAATAAAGGGTTCGGTTCGAAATTCCATCACCTGAAGAAGACTGGGGCCTACAAAAGCCGAAACGTTGTGAATAGGTCGATTAAGTTGTGGATAACATTCGAATAATATAAATAATGTAAGTAATGACAAATTATATTCATAAACTATTAGTTATTTAAGTTTAAAGAAAATTTACATTTAAACATAAATAACAAATTCTTGCTTATTGCACCGCTGGTCTTCCGTAATTCTTTAGGTTTTATTTTCACTTTTTTCGCGTGCTTTTTCAGACAGGTGTAGAATTACAGTATTTCTATTTTTTCTTTGACATTGTAGGCTACCATGCGTAAATAAAATTTTATTTTCATTCTGTTTTAAATAAAAGTAATCATTATTTTTTGAAAATCCAGTTAATTAATCTATAAAATGACTAACAGATTTCAAAACACACTCTAGGACAAATATTAGATTTTAAAGAATATTTTAAATCATATAGAATGGCGGTTCGATGAGAAGACTTAAAAAGAACTAATACTTTAAAAATACATATTTTTTTATTTATATGCGTAAATTATTTTATCTATTAATTCAGATAATCTTCATACCATTATCTTTCAAAATTAACCGAAATTTCTGTTCAAATATATATATATATATATATATATATATATATATATATATATATTATAGTAAAAAAAAGAAACAACACTTATGTTAATTAACTGATATTGGTTTATACAGAGACGATGGACTTATGGTTATAAAGAACTCTACTAACTTTAAAATCGATAAAATTAGAAAGATATTATATAAAGAATTTAAATGTCTGAACTTAAAATTACAGAAATCACTAAATTGAAAAAAGTGAACTTCCTTGATATAACATTAGATATAATAAAAAATGCATACATACATTATAAAAAAAAACAAAATACAAAAAAACTCAATACTACTTCTTTATATATACACGGTAAATCTAATCATCTTCTATCTATAATTAAGCATATAACTTTATCTATCGAAAAAAGAATAAGTACAAATTCAGCAAATGAGAAGATTTTCTATGAACATATTAATTTCGATAATAAAGCTCTAAAAGATAGTGGCTACAAAACCCCAAAACTAACTTACATAAAAAATGAAAATGGAAAGCATAGAAAAAACAGAAGCAGAAAAATAATTTGGTATACATCCCCATACAACCAAATGGTAAAGAATAAATTAGCACAAAAATTCCTTGCATTAATCGTTAAACATTTTCCTAAAGATAGTAAACTCTGTACTATTTAAAAAAAATACTCTAAACTTAAGTTACAACTGTACTGAAAACCCAGAGATAATTATTAAGAAACCTAATGCTAATATCTTGAATAAACACTTAGACCGAGACCAAAGAAATTTAGAGAGTTTTAAAATGAAGAGATGAAGATAAACAAAAATGATGTAACTGCAGAAATCCTCAAAACTCTACTCTAAAAAATAAATGTCGAACGGAATCATTAGTATACCAATGCAATATCTCATCTACTAATGATTCAGACAAATTAAAAGTCTATATTGGATGCACAAGGCATGAGTTCAAGAAAAGATTCAATCAACATCAAATTTCATTTAGGATAAATAAATACAGAAATCAGACGTCCCTATCGAAATATTTCTGGCACTTAAAGTAAACCAGTAAAACGCCTACAATAAAATGGAAATTAATAAGAAAAGCTAGAATAGGTAGGTCATTAAATGACCCATGTCCTTTGTGCATGCATGAGAAACTATATATTACTAGGTTTATAAAAATAAAGATTTACTTAATAAAAGAAATGGAATAGCTACTCTTTGCCGACATTATAAAAAAGTTTCCTTAAATAATATTTTAAAATAAAATAAAAAATGAGCTGGTAATATACATACTTATAATTGATATTTAATAATAATTTTTACATTTATTTCTTTCAAAATGAAATATAGTCTATTAGTAATTATAAGTAAAAATAATACTGTAAAATTGTATTTCAATACAATGTATTCTAATCCAAACACCCGTTTTAGGAAGAATCTTTATGTATACAACTTAAATTTAAGAGAAAAATGCCAAAAATAATTTTGTCGTTGATAAAATAAAACAGACAACATTCGTTGAACGAATGTCATAATTCGTTGAAAAAGGCAGTCCTACCCTAGGTAGACTTAACCACTTTTCGAAAGTAACCCACATTTTATAGAATTACCATTCATAAAAATGAACACGCTACCACCCCAGTTTAAATGATTTGATTTCTCTGTATCCTTGGAAAAAATATTATGAATGTATGTGCTTTTAAAACTCAGTAAATTTCAAAATAAGTTATTCCAAAATTCGCTTGAAAATGAAAAACGAACTAGTGCTTTTAATTTAATTATATAAATGAATTTGAAGTTTTTAATTTCAGTTTTTGCAACATGGTAATTCCTGTGTAGGGATGGGACCATATTTTTAAATTAGTTAATTTATAACCATTATTTATCAACATCATGGCTCAGATCTTCATGAACAACTAAAAAGAGTGGACACCTTTAAATACCTTGATGTTATCCTCACCAAAGCTGGACGCTCTACACCAGAGCTCAAGACCAGACTCGCTATAGCAACATCGTCAATGGCAAAACAAAGTAAGATTTGGAAGAGCAAAGAAGTCTGTTTTCCAACCAAGATGAAGCTGTCCATATGGATGTGAAAGCTGGACTCCGATAGCAGAAACCACCAGAGTCCAAACATTTGAAACGCACTTCTTCAGTCACCTTTTCAGGATCTCTTGAAAAGAACACAACACAAATGACTTTGTAAAGGGCCGAGTAACACAACTGGCAGGCACCAAGAAGCTCCTCTTGGCAACAAGAAAGAGGAGGAAGCTGTTGGGGCTTAGACATGTCATACGCTGCAATACTCTACCCAAGACGCTCCTTCAAGGTACCTTTCAGTGGGGTAGACATAGAGGAAGACAGTCGAAAAACATCAAAAAATGAAACTGTTTTGTGGGACAGAAAATAGATGTGGTTGGCGGCGGCTAGCTGCATTGTCGCAGCCCATGTCTCTTCTACGATCGATTCGGTAATATGATGGGAAGAAGTAACCATCATTTAGCAGTCGATGTCTTAAAATAAAAGTTGAGAGAATATCATGTATAATGTTTTAAACTGCATGCATAACTTGGTAAACTTTGTTTAAATTAAATTCCGAAAAAACTTCGAAAATATTTCTTTTTGCGATAAAATAAAACCATTATGATTTTTAGATAGTTCTTTGAAGGGTGCTTGTTGACATCAATAAAATCAATCGTCTTCATAGTCGCAGACTGAGAAAGGGAGAAATCTGACCGTAAATTGAGTGACCTCCTACATATCCTTTGTCTGCAAAAGAACTCACCCCTTTCGTTTTTTTTGTTTTGTTATTTTATTTTCAGTGTGTTTTTTTTAATTCATCTTCATTTGTTTCCATAGCAACCGGAAAATGTCGGTTATTAAAAGCTTGTATGAAAAGGCAGCGTTTACTTTTGGCTTCAAATAAAAGGAAGAGAAAACCGTAATAATAACTAATGATATTGCCCACCAAAAATCACATGAAGTATTTTTTTTTTATTATTTAATATTTTTTGTTGCAGCGCACAGGAAGAAATCGATCATCTCCGAAGTACATGGGTCTGTCGGAAAACATTACTTGCTATTTTATTATGTTGCTCCACGAAAGGCAGATATTAGTCTTATGGCAGTAAAGCTTAAATATCTATTGCTGTTCCTTTTCACACATCGCGCTTGAGCTAGAGCTCTGGCAAAATCGCGTCTGACATGATAGTGTGTATGAAGAAAATCTGGATAAGTATTTTCTTTTACTTTTGTTTCTTTTTCTTTGTTTTGCTTTTTCCTTTTGTCTAGATGTTCTTAGTTTTTTTTTTTGTTTTTTTTTCTTAATTTCTTTCTTTCTGTATTTTAATTTCTTTTTATCTTGTTTTAATCAATTCAGCCCAAGCAAGGCAATAATGCCATTGCAACGTAAGGGCCCTTTTTAAGTGTAAAAGAATAAAAATATTTTACAATGAACCGAAAACCCCGTTCTAAAAAGGAAACAAGCGACAACTCTCAAATCCTGTTCAGAAGACCAGGGAGGTGTGTGAAGCGGGTGATATGTGGATCTATCTACTCCTATTGAGGAAAAAAATAATAATTAGTAAATTATATGTAAGAATTTAGACGGAGATGTTAGGAGTATGGAGTGGAAATAGATTTTAGACGGAACCGGAAAATCAATCCTAAAAAGAAAACAATGGATAAGCCTCTACTCTTGTTCAAGGGACTAGGGAGGAGTTAGAAGCGGGCGATAGGTGAATATATCTATTCTTATTAAGAAAAAAGAAAGAAAGAAATAATAAATAAGATTTCAGATTTTAGGAGCATACTTTTTTTTTCTTTTAAGTAATTTGTTCATTAATTCATTCTTTCGCTCTTATTCTTATTTATTCAGTAATTGTGAAAATTAGAAGTAACCAATGATAAACTCTCACCATAGGGATGGAAGCAATGCTGTTGGTTGCTCGGAAGATTAGACTGAATCTTTTTGTTTTTTATCAATCGAGTTAAAATGGCATTGCGCTTTGGGCTTATAAGCGCCTCTGTTAATAGGCGATACAACGACTACTTTTAACCACTCATCTTTTCTGACTCGTCGTGAAGAGCCTCTTTTTCGGAAATCTAGCCATTCTATGCGTCTTTCTTATCTTTGGAAGATAGACCCGTCTCCATCGATAATTTGTGAAATTTTCGACATAATCTATTCTGGTTTTGTTTCTATTATATTTTATTTTATGTTTCGTTCCTTCTTTTCTGTCAATGTCGTTTTTTTCGAGGTGGGGGGGGTTCAGCCATTTTATATTTATTCTCATTTCTCATCCCCTTATATATCTAGTTAATTTTTCTGCATTTAATATTTATTCGCTTTCATTTTCCTAAATGACAATCTTTAGATAAGCAACGCATACGAACACAATGTTTTAGAAATTGCATTTCAAAGGAACTTTGGCACAATGGCGACCGACCTTTTGTTTGAACAGGGGTTTCTCGTTGTATTTAATGATACAGACAAAATTTCGCACATTGATAGACACTGAAGTTTACTAAAAATGAACTCAGACCAAGCAATGGGCATTAGCAATTTAAAAGGTGGATAATGAATTTCAACAATAATTTGTTGAAACCTTTTCGAATATGGCGGTACACAGGCTCTTGTTCACCCTTAGGGAAAATCATAGCCAGTGCAGGTACCTCCAAAATCGGTATTATTGTACTTCCTATAGATGTTGTTTCTGTAGAAATAAATAGAAAGGTTTATTTTTGGATCGTCTTCCGTAATTTTTATCAAATTGTTGAACAATCATGTCTGTTACTTCCCTATCCTACATTTTTGGGGATATGTAATTTATCAGTTGGGAATAAGTTATTCATTACCAATTTTAAAATGTTATTAGTGATCATTCATGATGGTAGACACTGTTTCTTTAGTTTCTAAGTATTCTTTTCTTCTATATTCCTTACACTTTGATTTCCTTTTCTTCTTCATTTCAACCTCCTTACCATTTGTCTCCTTCAGCTCTATATTCATTATTTGCCCCTCTGTTATGTTGGTGTCGTTTTTTCTTTGTTTTGTTTTTTCACTTCCGTCTATTCTTTCTTCATTTTATCTGCTTTTAAATTTATTCTTCCCTTTTGGTTAATTTCGTCTTCAAAGTCTATCTGCATTTTCTTTTTCATTGTTATTTTCTGTCATCGCTGCTTTCGATTCCTCTTCTTGCTTCTTGTTTTTCTATCACCGGCGCTACATGATCATAACTAATAAATGAACCAGATAAGAGAAACCACATCCCTTTCGGCAGCGGCTACGACTAAAATGAATACATGTATAATTCGGCAAGAAAATCATGACATCACATTCCACACTACATCAAATAAAAAGATAGGAAGAAAACGCCTTTCATTACTAGAAAGAACGATAGCAGCTACTGGAGACATGAGAAATGGTTTGGTTTGTTTTCTTTCACAGCATATCAACCCCGATGGGGTATTATATGCTGACAAGATTGCTATTGCTTGTAATTTTTTTTTTTTCAAAAATATATTGTTCGTAATATTTTTTTATTCAAAAATGTATTGCTGGTAATATTTCATTTTTCAAAAATCTATTGTTAGTAATATTTTTTTTCAAAAATGTATATTTCTGGACTACGTTTTTATTGAAAAATGTTTTGCTGGTAATATTTTTCCTTCAAAACATTTATTGCTGGTATTAAAACCTATTTTTACACTTTCATAATGTATTGACCCCAGTTTGGGAAGTTAACTATTTGCCCATAGGTGGGACCCTAACAAGTGCTAACACCCGGCTCAGGATGGACCTGCGAACACCCGTAATTTAGAGGTGGTTCCATGCTCCTCAATCAGACACCTTGCTTTCGGATGTAGTTTATCGTCATATCCAGGATGATCTATTTTCCTGAAAATTATTTTAATAGAAAGATTTTAGGAACTTCAACCGACAGCAGCACTGACTGCTCAACTAATGTAACGGATAATATTACCATTAGTATTGTATATTATGGCGGGTCGTCCTTCTTTTATTTTTACTGTTTCTTTTCTTTCTTCTTACATTCTTGGCATATTCCGACTTCAAATTATTTCTGTATTTCATTTCTCAATGTTATTTTCTGCAGATAGATAGATCTGAACAGACTGAGATAGATAGATAGATAGATAGATAGATAGATAGATAGATAGATAGATAGATAGATAGATATCAGAAGACTGGTATAGATAGATATATAGATAGATAGATATCAGAAGACTGGTATAGATAGATATATAGATAGATAGATATCAGAAGACTGGTATAGATAGATAGATAGATAGATAGATAGATAGATATGAACAGATTTAGATAGACAGAAAGATAGATAGATATAGACTGAGATAGATAGACAGACAGATAGATGTCTATTTCTTTTCTTTCTTTTCACATTCTTGGCATATTCGGACTTCATATTATTTCTGTATTTCTTTTCACAATAGCATTTTCTGCAGTTATCTTCTTGAATTCTTTTTTCCTCCCCTCTCCACGTTTTGATGCTATCGTTCTTCCTCTTTTTATTCATCCTTTTATGTTTCCACGTCGTTTTTTCTTTCTTTGCATCTTCATTTTCTCCTTGGTTTCTTATTTTTCTTTTATCTCTTTCCTTTTTTCTTTTTCTTTCTACTTCTTTGATATATTTCCTCTTCGTTTCATCACCATTCCTGTTTGCTAGCCTTTTTCATCTCCTTCAACTCACACTTTTCATCCCCCCCCCCCATCTTTCAATGAATAACGGCGGGGCGTGAGAATCGGAGAGACAAGTTCAAATTCCAGTCCAGTTAGTTACATTCACTTACACGCAAATGCCCTCGGAAAAGCTATAAATCAATCTCTTGTCACACCAACCGTTAGTTGAATAGCAGAACAAGTTTACTCCTATAGACTTGATTGGCATCCAGTCTACCGCAGAAAGAGATGGCCGCCTACTGTGGGAAACTCTTCTGCCTTTTCAGTCACGTATTCAAAGACATTATCGCCAAAGTTTGTATCACATATGAACCTGACATTTTTTTCATTCCTCTTTACAGTTCTTTTTTTTACAATAATGTTCACCCTCTACAAGACTCAGGAGACGCACAAATTATAGGCTTACTGGGTAAGTGTTACCTTTTTTTGCGATATGTGGGGAAGATAATGGCTGACACTAGACCAAAACAAGTTAAGTATGTAGCGACCGGGGTAACATACTATTAGGAGTCGACTCCACAAAACAGTAGTTCATGGGAAGAAGCTGCTCGTATAGAAGTTATATCTCACCATTTGAATACGAAGGTGATGGTTCGGTATCATGTGCGTGACATGGCGGGTCTTAAACATGGAAGTTAGAACTGGTGGATCTAAGGAATGTAGTTCGTCTGAGCACTTTCCATGGAAATAGCGATAAAGCAGCAAGATGTTTGCGGCGTTTCGTCTGATAGAAAAGGATTGCAAGGCAGGAAATAATTCATCACCCATAAAGACGCAG